GGGCAGATATTGATCTCACTCAGGATGTCTGTATTTATACTAGCAGTGTGGGGCCGAGTGACGTTAACGCGTAAGCTGAGCTCCATTGTCTTTTCACGTCTTGACTTCTTCCTTTCCAGAGCACCCTTCCCTATTAATACCTCGTTAATTCTTCTGATTAACTTAAGGTATTTAGCCACGGAGTGAAACTTTAGCTTCGGCTAATATCTTGACCCATTAAGAGCTTGGCACTTGATACAGTGCATTGATTAGGAAACGGTGTCCCACTCCATTGTAGGCATAGTGGCATACCATATGTCCTGCAAAGTCCATTAGGGCGTAAGGCTCTTACGCTTTGTAATGCCGTTTTGAGTCTAGACGGCGAACCCAGAAATACCTTCAACAGATGGAAAAGTCACTTTCAGAGTGAGAAATGTTTGGCTTTGTCTTGGTAAACTGTTTTTGAAAAGTTTGATTCAATTCAGTATTTTTAATTCAAGAAGTGAAACTCATACAGCTTCATCTCACAACACACTGAGATGAAGTGTGTGATTTTTCTGTTAATTTTGATGATTACGACAAAGGAATATCTGAAATTATTTTTTTTTAAGTTAGAATATTCAACTATTAAATTAATACTGACATGTTACAGCCTACTTAGTAATAGGGAAGAGTGCTGATTGGACAGTTGTCCAGCAGACAGTAACCGGCCCACTCTGTAAGGAGGGTAAGCCACAAAACGTCATTGCTAAAGAGACTGTAAGAGGGCTGTAGCAAAGACTATTAATGAAAAGTTGTGTGGAAGGAAAAAGTTTAGCAAATACTGATGCAGAAAAAGTAGGGATGGCCGCAGCCTTGAGAAGACTGTGGAGCAAAGTTGATTCAAGAGCACAGCGGGTGTTCACAAGTCCTAGTCTGTAGGTGGAGTCAGTACTTCAGGAGCTACCACACACAGATGCATCCAAGATTTAGATGCTACATTGTTACATCTGTTTTGTTGAACCACTCTAGAATTAAAGATGTCAGGAGTTTCTTACCTGAACTAAGGAGTGAACTCAGTGCTGCAAGGTTCTTTTCTAAGGTGAAAGCAAAATGTGCATTTTGTCTAAAGATCAAGGCCCTACAGTGTGAAAGAAAGGTGGAAAGATAAAGATCCAGTCAAATGTCCAAGGACAGTAATGATTAAAAGAGATAAACACTTGATAAAAACATTTTAGTGACACTTTATTTGAAGGGGTGTGCAAAAGACTGCAATGACACTGTCATAAACATGTCATAACACCTGTCATGAACAAGAAGGAGTCTTTATAAAAGTTTATGACTGGTGTCATGAAGTGTCATTCGGTAAATAATGACACTTTTAATGCAAAGTTGCTTTAAAAGACTATTAAAAGGGCCAACTTTGCATCAAAGTTGGAACTTTCAATGGACTTTTAAAACATTAAAAGTGTCATTTACCGAGTGACACTTCATGACAACAGTCATAAACATTCATAAAGACTCCTTCATGTTCATGACTGGTGTTAGGTCATATTTATGACAGTGTCATATCACTCTTCAATAAAATTGTTACCAATATTTTTTCAATTGAATCACAAGGAAACGTTTGATATTTTTAATTTATTGAGATGCACCTGTAGGGGGAGACAACTCACAGTGAAGTTTCAGGGGAAAAAAAAAAAGTCATTTGTCAATATACAGATGAACAACAGAAGGCAAAATATGACATTTCTTTTATTATGGCCACTTTACTGCATGTATAAACAATTACTATTTACATAAAGATGAAGAAAATACAGTGAGAAACAAAATGCAGAAACAGAACAAATGTGCAACCGACTACAATCACCACATCAGTCACAAACTCGAGCGTCGGCAGGAACCTTACGTGGAGCACGGAAGATCCAAACCACGGCCTAAAAATCTGAAAAATCAGCAGAACTCACACACGGAAAACACATACTGAAGTGGTCACGAACGATATTCACAGAGTACAAACAAAATTGTCTCTTTTTAAAAACAAAAAACAAACTCAAATACAATTATGATGTCATAACTGATGTTTATGCTGTGAGGTTTCCTGCCAAACTAGCCTCCATTTCTCTGCACCCGCAATCCACACCGTGTTTCCGAAACACGAAAAACTCCCCTCCCTCACGATTTTTGTCAATGCTTCTGTCGCGTCTAGAACAGAGGAGGTGTGAATGGCGAGTAAGAAAGCAAAAGAAAAGACAGGACATAGAATAAATAAGGTCCATTTTTTTTTTTGTATAAAATTCATGTTTAAAACAATCTCGTCAGTGTTTATGGATTCCTGCAAATAAGCAGCATCAGGAGAAAAAAAAAAAGAAGAAAGAAATTACACACGTGGCAAATATGTCAAATTAAAAATCACAAAGCTGCTTAATCAAAGCTCCACCCAAATCCAATTGTAACTACGGCTGATGATAACATTCGACAGCAGCGCTGATCGGGTTGCAGCTGCTTCTTCCGTTTCCTGTGATGAGCGCTGTTTGGTGATTTTTATTTATTTATTTTTTTGCAGATGACTTATAGTTACATGTAAAGACCAGATCCTAAAAGCCATTTACATGCAAATCACTAACCACTTCAGCAGTGAGAATTAAGTATGAAGCAGCTCCTAAACTGATGCCACCACTAAAGAAAGCTTCCATGCACCCAAAGCCACTGTCTTTCAAGGAATCGATGCACTGACTTGTGCACGCGTTACGTTCGTTGCTGAGAGTATTTGCAAAGGTTTCCATTTGATTAAATTGAGCGTGGTTTGCACACCAAGCAAAGTAGCTGTGCTCGGAGATAAAACAATTTTTTCGCAAGGCCAGTCTGGTTGGGTTAGGGCGTGTAGGCAGGTGGCGGCTGAAACTGGTTGGCGACGTCGTAGTCGGCAGGAAAAGTCTCGCTGCTGTCCTCCATCTCCGAGAGCAACTCCAGGGCCTGCTCCTCCTCCTCCGTGGGGTAGTGGCGTAGGAGGTTTGCGGCGGTGGCGAGGATCGACGCGCCGCCCGCGCCTGCCACCAGGTAGAAGCTGATGGCGAAGGTGACGTATATGAGAGAGCCGTGGTACTTTTTGTGCTGCTGCTGAAGCGCCAAGATCAGTTCTGAGGTCCAGTAGCAAAACCCAATTACTGTGGCACACTGCAGCACTGAGGGGAGAGAGAGTAGGTTAATAAAAACTATCATACGCTCGACATAATGGCTCACTAAGGACAAGAACAAGTTTGCTGTTCAGTGTTCTTGTCCAGCTGCATCAGTTCTGATTCTTTTTATTTGTAGAATCATAGACTAAGCATAAATGATGTATAAACATTTCATGTTAGGTTTGATTGTATAAAAAGTGCTGTGTACATAAAGATTGATTGATTGCTTGAATTGATTTACTCCAAAGATATAAAATTGATCTTTTTACTTTAAATAATGTCAGACTAAGTATACCCTCAGGGTTTAAGTTTATCTCAACTGTACTTAAGAGGTTAGCAACAAGACACATATAATAAAATCTGGTTAAAAACAATAATCTTCCTTAATACTCTGGTAATATGTTTTCTTTAAGGTCAACCTTTCTGCGTAATAAAAACTCAGAAATCTTGATTTTACTTTAAAAAAAATTCTGATTTGATATTTTTGCCAAATCGTCCACTTTTACTTTGTTTATTGATACACACAATAAAAAAATAAAAATAATAATTAAGAAAAACCTCCAATAATAAGAATATGTACCTGTTAGTATATGTGCAAAAGCATATCTGCGTGTGACCTTTAGGGCAGAGTGTTTGGGTCCAAACACATCCAAGAGAAAAGCTGTGAGACTGCATAATATGCCGAGGAAACAGAAGGCAGCGATGACTCTCAGCAACAGGATGATTTGTGGGTTTACACAGTAATCTGTGGAAATACAGAAGTCACAAAATTACACGTTAGCTGAATGATTAACAACTGCCTACGCTTACAGGTTGTGACGTGCTTATTCTCACCATCCAGGAGCTTGGGATCGATGTACCCCAAGACATCCGCTACCCCCAGCTCTTGTCTAGGGCAGGCCCCTCCGTGAACCCGGAGCCAGGCCGGTTCAGCCAGAGCCGTGCACAGCGCTGTGATGGACAGAGCTCCGGGCAGAGCCGACACCAAGCTCCGCTCCGGCTGCTTGGGCAGGGAGGTGCCCGTTCTCCGTCTCCGACCTCCAGGGAGAGTGGAACCCGGTGGGGCATACATGATTATTGCGTCTCCTTAGTAATTGGTGTCGTTAGAAGCGTTGGTGACTCCTTCTTTGTAGCTTAGGGATGAGCCAACCAAGAGAGGAGGCAGAGTAAGGCCTGTAAGCCGGTTCAGGCAAGGAAACTTGGATCACGAGGGGATGACAGCGGCTCCGGACTCTTTCTTTCGATGAGTTACACACAATGTGTCCGACAAAAATCGGGATGCTAGATAAAACAAGACGCTGGCGGCCGATCAGACAATGAACAGATGGTCTCTAGGCCTGTTAGCTCTTCTGTTAGCCTGATACGCTAACTCCTTGTCAACGCCAAATATAACAAAATCTAAGGACAAAACTAAACCTAACACAAACAAACAATTTAAAATAAAACTTAACACACGATAAGGATATCTACAACAATAAAAACATACGGTTACTATTATTACAGAAAAGGAAACGCAAAACAAAACAAAAGACAGCCTACGCTGGTTTCCCGTAATGTTGACTTCCTGTTAGCAGTTGGCACCGGTCTAAGAGGAGGGGTTTCTGCCACCTAGTGGTGACTCATTAAAAACCACTTACACATGACTAAATAAATTGTTACAATTAGATTGCCAATTACAAATTGTTCTACCCCCACATAGAAGTATTATGCAGTTTTATTTTTTTTTTTGCCTCATTTCAAATCAAAGTAGTCTAAAAGTCAGTATATTCCTTAACATTCAGCAGGCATGTCACTCGGCTAGAAGTGATGACGCAGTGGAGTGGGAGGAGTTTCCACTCATAAATTGAGTAAAATGTTTGCTGTTTAGTTACTATGTTGGTGCAAGGGCAGGGATTTCTTTTCACAGAAAGTTTGTTTACAAAGTTTCATTAAATGCCAACAAAGGAAACGTGTGATAACTATATATAAATTACTGCTGCTTGATACTCCGCCAGCAATTTATTACATAGAAACAAATGTTGTTCAATCGTTTTTCTAAGACGACACGGACATCACTTGTATTTTTGTTTCAGCCGAAGTGGGTGTCCACCGCCCGCTCTCGCCGGCGAGAAGAGGAGAGTTTGACAAATAGTGCGTGTCTAGCAGCATCAGAGAACGGAAGTGATCCAGAATGCAACGCGCGCAGCCTCTGATAAGCAAACATGGCAACATTTCCGTTGTAGACATCCCTGTAAGATATTGTTTTACTTTGTTCATTGCTACATAAACGACCCTCATTCATTTCTGCTGCGCCACATGCTGATAAATGACAAGCGGGCTTCGTACTACCGGGCGTTAAAAGTAGACACGGAAGTATCGACGCTTCACAACTGCGTGAAATATTTGAGTAGCCATGAAGGAGGTTCTGTCCCTGGTTCAGAGGATCAGCGCGCACCCGGACTCCCGCTGCTGGTTCGTCTCCTGGAGCCCGAATGGAGCTCTGCTGGCTTCATGCGGGGGTGACAAGGCGATCCGGATATGGGGGCGAGAGGGTGAGCTGTCAGTAACACGAGCGGTAGCGCACAACACTAACATTTAAAACATGGACAGGTGGGTCATGTTTCTGTAGATAAATGATGCTAATAAGGTCATTCTTAGAAAACGGTCCCCAGTTTAAGTAAAACTTCATTTTGAGCTCCTTCATCTTCATCACAATTTAAGGTAGCTTGCCAGCTGGGGTCCACCTGGTTTGCATCCTCTCCGTTTTTGCAGTGACTCTAATCCATGAGTTTTGGGCAATTTAGTATTACATTTCTGTATTTTCAATTTAAAAATATGCCAAATACCACATGAAAACAGAAAATGTCACTTATTTTTAGCTGCATTTCTTTTTTCCAGGCGACTCTTGGATCTGTAAGACCGTGTTGCAGGATGGTCACCAGCGCACTGTGAGGAAGGTGGCCTGGTCTCCTTGTGGCAATTATCTGGCCTCTGCCAGTTTTGATGCTACCACATGCATTTGGAAAAAAAAGAACAATGACTTTGAGGTTAGATGAAACTTTTCTTGTTCAGCCGGTGAATTTTCAAAAAACTTCTGAACTTTTGAACTTGTCTTCTAGAGCTTGACCGTGTTGGAAGGACACGAAAACGAGGTCAAATGCGTGGCTTGGGCTCCTTCAGGGAACCTCCTGGCCACCTGCAGCCGAGACAAGAGCGTCTGGGTTTGGGAAGGTTTGTTTTCAGTAAAACTAAAGTGAAATCCTTTGTTGTAAATCACTAAATTAACTCTAGCTCTTAGTTTGTGTGCAAACACAATTCGTTTGTGCGTTTCAGTGGATGAAGATGAAGAATATGAGTGCGTTACTGTGTTGAACTCTCACACACAAGATGTCAAGCATGTTGCGTGGCACCCCAAGAAGGAGGTAGCCCCTGACCCCTTGCATCTTAATCATACCTTAGCTTGACATCAGGCTGTAACCGAGTTTTCTGTTTGCACAGCTTCTGGCTTCAGCCAGCTATGACAACAACATCTGCATTTACAAAGAGGAAGACGACGACTGGGAGTGCCAGGCCACCTTGCAGGGCCACACATCCACCGTGTGGAGTTTGTGTTTCGATGCTGCAGGGGAGAGGATGGCCTCCTGCAGTGACGACCGCACCGTGAAGATTTGGAAAGAGTATCCCAGCGAGAATGGGCAAGGTGAGTTCATGGTGGACAGCAGCACTTTTGTCGTCGTGTATTGCAAAGAAAAATGAAGTAACTTTTTGCTCGTTTAAAGGGAACCTCTCCTGGAAGTGTGTTTGCACCCTGTCTGGGTACCACGGACGAACGGTGTATGATGTCGCCTGGTAAGACAACCCATGCCATGATGATTGGGTGCATCAGTGACTTATGTTATTGTTTAACAGCTTAATCAGCCCTTTTGACATATTGTAGTGTTTATTTATAAGCTGATGGCTTATAGCTAATTTCCCAATTGCTCCATATCACTGGGACCCAGATAGGGTCACATTTACGGTGAATGTGACGTCCTGATAGTTGTGCAGCTATCAGTCATCAGCATTTTTTCTACTTTCTATTAGCTGTAATAAAAATTAAAAAATGCTTGAAATTTCACCAAATTATTACCGAAGTAAAATGTTGTAGATTGAAAAACGTCTGAGTAGCTATTCTACTATTATCATTTCTATTATCAGTCTTAAAACATTTTTTCTCTCTGAAAGTGAAGTTATTTTCTGACCTAAATAAATCACATCTGTTCAGGTGTCAACTGACGGGCGCTCTGGCGACTGCCTGCGGTGACGACGCAGTGAGAGTTTTCAAGGAGGACGTGACGGCCAGTCCTGATGAGCCAGTGTTTTCTCTCGTTGCCCAGGCGACCAAAGCTCACAACCAGGATGCTAACTGTGTTTCCTGGAACCCAAAGGAGGCGGGCCTCCTAGCTTCCTGCAGCGACAACGGAGAGATTGTAATTTGGAGATTCAAAGAAGAGGAATTAGACTGATTCTGTAGTTTTTGGACCTGATTTTGTTGTTGACAGGTTGTTTTTTTTTTTTTTCTTTTTGCAATTTCAGGTAAATGTTTTGCGTTATGATGAGAATAATACTGCAATGTGCTTTTGAGTCTGCATTTTGGAAATGGTTTCCTATGAAAATTGCTTTAAAGTTTTTTTTATAAATACAGAATATTAAACATAACCACAAATGGATCCTTTATTTAAAAAAATCTTTTCAGACAGTACATGATACTAAAAACATGTAGAGGAGGAATTAGATTTCCATAAAAACCAGTTTAAATTCACAACATAACTAGAGTGCTTGTTTCTATTTGAAACACAATCTGCTGTGAGACTGCAGCGTCTTTTACAGCAAACCATCTTTAGAAGAGTCTAGGTTGCCTTGGTTACCGCAGTTAAATCAAACGGTGCATAACTGTCATGCAACTGAGATTAAAGGTGGACAGACGGACTGGAATTCAACGATCAGGTGTTTCAAACTTAAAGAAAACTACCAGGTAAAATGACACTGAACTTTAATAAGTATTGAGACATGCTGACAGGTAAAGCAAAAGTACATAAATCAGGTTGAGCATCTAAAGGACAAAAAAAAATAAAAAAATAAACCCCTTGATTCCCTCCGACTAATTTAAAAAATTTACTGCTTAGTCTGAGTCACTTTCCCCCTCGCTGTCGGCCTCTTTCACATCCACGCTGAATTTGTACTCCTGGTCACAGCCCATGTAAGCGTCGCTCATAAAGTACAGGGTGTAGTTATGGATGCCCATAGCTGGAGCAACAAAGTCCAGCTTCACCTGCAGATAAAGAGACAACAAAACTGGTGTCAGGATGTTGCTGCACGGAGCGTTTTGGTTGCAGCGTTTGCCTTTTTTTTTCACCTTTGCTTTCTGCTGAAGAGTCAGCCTCTTGATAGAGATGAGGCTGTTCGACTTGGGGTCTCCGATGACCACCCACCAGCCCTCCTCACGTTTCTGCAACAATTACAGATTTCCACACGTCAGTCATGTTTGGATAATGGAAGGATGATGGAAGATGAGGCGTACAGTGACACTGACCTGAGGGAAGAGTGGTGCGATGACTGGACCGGTCACCTCTTCCTCTCGCTCGAGCTGCACCTGGACCAGAACTGGACTGCCGCTGTGAAAATACATGGTAATTAGGGTTGAAATAATCATGATTAATCAATTATTAACCAATGATCACTAAGTGGAGTATATATATGCTGATCACCCTCAGGGTTATAGTTAAGCTAAAACTGTACAAAAAATATATAAACATGTACATTTAAGATGAAAAACCTTCTCTGTAAGGAAATATGTAAAGAAAGAAAAAAAGAAGTTCAATTATTTATTTACATTTTTATGTATTTCTAAGATTGTCAAAAAATCTTAGGTGGTCAAATGGCTAACCTGATGTTCACTTACATTTTTGAAGATGATCAAACGATTTATGCCTTTTATTAGAATTTTATATTCTAAAATAATGCAGGGTTAGAAATTAGGAGAAAAGAAAATGGTTCTTTAAACTTTTTAGTAGTAAAAATCTGTAAAATGAGGCAAGCACTGGTCTTCAAACAGATTCATTTTGGCCAGTTTTGATTTCGCTTTTGGCATATTATGTTAGAATATAACCTGCCAAAATGAACGAATGTGTTTACGAGGCAATTTAACATCTGAGAGCGTATGAACCTTTTGATGTTGTCCCTCTCCGCTACGTCATAAGAAAGCTCGATGTTGGGGTAGCGGTTACAGAAGCGAGCCACGTCGGCCATGTGTCCGTCGGAGAGCTGCAGCAAAGACGTTCTGTCCTCGTCCTCCATTTCCATGATGTCAAAGATGCTCTCCACACCCTGAAGACGGAACAAGCAGAGATGATATTGTCTTAAATTCTGCATCATGTGCTCTAATATCGCCACTGAAGCGCCTCAGCACCACTCACTTTGTCAGTGCAGCGCTTGATGTGGTCTGAGGTGAAGTGGGGCAGCTGCTTCAGGTACGAGTCCTTGGACCACATGGCCTGGGTGACCATCTGCGCCAGCTCCATGGCAGCCAGGGCGGGGCTCAGCCAGCCGTTACTGGACAGCACATCGACGCAGGCCTGAATCAGACGGATCGCCTGCAAACGAGGGAAATTATTTAAACGCGTTGCCGTCTGGAACAGAAACCCAACGAGCCGAGTCATCAGAAGGGGAGTCCTGACCTTGCTCAGGATCTCCTCCGTGTCTGACTGGAGCTCGGCGCTCAGCTGCATCCTGGAGAGGTGGGCCTGCAGCAGCAGGTTGGTCTTCACGTGAGGATCGTTGAACTTCGGGTTGTTCAGCTTGTGGGGGACTTTCTGTGCCAGCTAAAAATTAAAACAACATATAGACTCACCAACAAACTAGGGATGGAAATCATCAGTTAGTGAGTTAGTCTAAAGATAATTGAGCTTATCGATTGACTATTAATTGATAAGCGGCCATTTTCTTAAAAACATGGGTTTTCTCTTGTAACAAAAGGACCAACCATCTTTCCATAATACGCTGAATTTACAAAAGAAGCACATCTTTATATACATTTTTTTGCTTTAACTGTATTACATTCTTTTTTTGTTTTTTTGACAATATTAAACTTAGATATGTATCTAAAACTTAAAACAGGAACCACTTGGGTTGCTGAAAAGAAATAAAAGATGAAAAGAATGAAATATATAAACCACAATCCCTCATGAACAGAGATATGTTCATAGGTTTTCTTTGAGGAAGTCAAGTGCCCTAATAACTGGCATCATGTTTTTCTATTATGTCACAATTTTTCTCTTTTATGCCTTTCACCTCTCTTTCATAGAAAATCAGTTTTTTGGTCAAGACAAATTGACGCTGCTTCCCTGGAAGAGATGAAACTGAACGAGTTTGTCGAAGTTTTATATTTCAAAACAGAACCGCATAAAGTACGGTTTGCATCACACACTAGACTCTGGACCGATTCTCTTTCCTGTTCTGGTATGGTCATGCCATCTTTATTCCTTTATCAACTGGTTCCAGTTAAGGATGACCAGCAGCACCCTCTGCTGGATGGAGGTCAAACTACAACACTGAAAGACGTTCTAAGTGAACGTTATTAGCTAATTAACTGGAACTAATTTAATGATTTTTAAATAATGAACCATTATTCGACAATCTTAAGTGGAAAAATTGTTTGCATCTTTCCCCATTTACCTGTCGGAGAAGCGCGTCTTCGTGGTGCCTGATGGGAATGTTCTTGTATTCAGCCGCGTTGGAAATGATCTCGATCAACCCGCGGATCTTCGTCTTGGCGTTCAGGGACATACTGAACAACTCTGCCCAACACAACAGCAAAACAACAGCGACGTTCAGCATCCCATATGAAAATCCTCCAAACGTCAGCAGGGCCGTGTCGGTACAAACCAATTGTTGTGTAGTTGATGTAGTAGTAAGCGGCGATCATTCCCAGGTTGAGCGGAGCGACGTCCATTTCGTCCTCGATGCTGATGCACTTGGACTGCTCCAGGTCATGCAGGGTGTTTTCCACCAGCTCGGACAGGTGATCGGACAGGTGGCGATGGGACATGCCTGCCACGATTAGAGGATGGCGTTCAGATCTCCTTCGAGCCTTTCACTCGACCTGATCAGTCAGGTGTTTACAAGCCGATCCTCACCTTGCAGGTTGTAGTAGTTGGGGTTCTGCGTCATCCGTCGGTAGAGGAATGTCCAGGTCAGGTAGTCGACGGCGTCTTGCTTGTTCTCGACAGTCTTGGTGACGATCTCGGCGTTGAAGTGGTCGTGGAGACAGTGATCCAGATGGGACTCCACCGGCAGAGGCTCATACAGGAACTTCTTGAAGAAGTCCTACGGGGAAAAGGCACATCAGTGGTGACATTTTAATAAAATCTATCTTTGTGGGTCTTTAGCAAAAAAAAAAAATCTGAAAAATTGAAATTCCAACGAATTACTGGAATATTTTTAACTCATTTAGGGCTGCAACTAACAGTTATTTTAGTAACCAATTATTCTGACGATTGATCAGATAAAACGTTTTGGCACATTTTACAACTTAAACCTTTTAATACAATGTTAGAAGTACATACCTTCTTAGATCCCTGACACATGATAACACAGCGCCCCTCATCATCCAGCATGGGCCTGTTTGCCTTGCCGACCATCTGGAGGACATCATATATGGGATAGTCCACATACCTAAAACAGGGGAAAACAAAAAAAATGTCAAGAAAATTACTTTTTTTTTTTGTAAACTGTTTTAAGTAAACTCTCCAAGAGTCTTACGCGTGGATTTTTCCATTATAGTACTGGGTGTCCATGACAATGACGAGATGGGCAGAGACGTTGATGCCCCAGCAGAGCGAACGCGAGGAGACCACCACCTGGACAGCACCTGTACCAAGACAGGAAGTTAAATACACCAGAAAGCTGTTGTCATGTTTCTGTATTTTTCTTCTTTATTCCTGAAACTCTCTGTGGGTCGGGGTTGTTTCATACCAGAGTTAAAAAGCTGCTCAACTATCCGGCGCTCAGTGGCAGTCAGGCCCTCGTGCAGATATCCCACTCCGTTGGCTAGAGTTTCCTTCAGAGTCGGGTCGTTGATTTTCTCCAGGAATGGAGCCAGTTCTTTCTCAGAGCAGTACAGGAACCTGAAGAGAGAAAATACTTCCTTCAGATGAGCTTCCTTCATCGGCGTTAAGCACTTTCCAGGCTCATGGTAGCTATGTTGCCTTCAGATGCCACGGGCGATTCAAGGATTTCTCAAACATGCGTGAAAGAATCAATGCATCAGTATGTATGCTTTAGATGAGGGAATCACATTATAACATGATGTAAAGTTAATTTTACATAATACTGCCCCTTTAAATCTCTGTCTCAAAACGAAGGCTGACCTCTGAGGGACGACATCGGCGGCGCAGAACGTGAGGATGTCGATGGCGGTGAGGCGGGTCTGCCTACGGGACGGGACGAACACAACGACCGGCTTGGAGGGAGAGTGCTTCATGATGGCGTGATACACCGGCTTGGCCATGGACAGCAGGCGGGTCTGAGTGTGGCTCACGTTGAAGCCCTGCAGCGACACGTAAGCGTTGACAGAACGTTAGAAATCCTGACAGGTGATTTGTCCGTTTCAGCAGCCACGTGTGAGCAGACCTGGATGTGCAGCTCCAGAGGTACAGGCC